AAAAAATTGAAGATATTGTTTGTTTATTAATCAATGAAATTCCTTCTTTATTTGATTATTAAATATTTACTTTTAGTGTGAAGGTATTATGGCATTCATTTCTATGACACTACTTTCTCCTATTGCTGTTTCTCAATTAAGTGATGTAATCTCTCAAGTTATTTTGAGTCCTGCTGTTTCTGAAGAAGCTACACCAGCAATTATTGATGTTTACGATGCGTTACAAGTTCCAGTTTGTTTACAATAAAATTCATTTAATTTTGTTTGCATGGAATTTTTATTATTTTATTACTTTTTCTTTATATTTTTTATTAAAAAGTATTAAAATGAAAGCTCAGAAGACTGTCGTGAATTAACAATTCCGCATGATCCTCTCTTGGACTTATGGTTATTTTTCCCTTCACCGCTTTCTTACTTTTTTCTTTTTATTTTTTTTCTTATTCAATTAAAAATATTAATTGAATAGAATTATGGTAATTTATTTGAATTATAAATATGTTATTATTATAACTATTATAACCTATTGTTATAATTATTTTTTTCTATTTAATTTATTTGGATTAATTCATTTTTATACATTCTTATTTAATTTACCAATAAAACATATAATTCTATGTAATTTCATATGATGAAACATTATTGATTATGTTTTGTTCTTTGAACATGTTCAAATGGAATTTATTTTTTAAAATATATAAAAATAAATATGTAATTTTGTTAGAAGAAAGACTTAATTTGTGGTTAGTTATGCCTTTTGGTTTTGGTCTTTCTTAATACCAATATTTAGTAAAATAGAGTCTTAGAAATTTTTTATTCTTTTTTATAATTAGAGTTATAAAAATAATATTTCTAAATGATATATTTGATGATAGAATAATAATAGATACTATACAGAACATCATTTAATAAATTCATTTCTTTTTATATGAGTTGGTTATATATTATTAAGTGATATTAAATGCATATACTCTTCCAAATAACTTAATATATTCTAATAATTAATAATGGAAAATCAAATATACTTAATGATCAATAATTCTTAAAGTATAAACATCCTATTTCAATCATTGATGATATTTTATTTAAATTTGTTAATAAAATGAATTCTACATGTTTGAATTAAATGTAATGAGATTGCAACACAAATCAGTTTTGATTATTTATATTCAATGTCTTTGAATATACTTTCTTCCTTCTTTTAAATATGTGGAATGATTTACTTCAAACAATATTAGATTTTTAAATATTATCCTATATTCAGATATTTCATCATATACTATACCTATGAATTGTTTCAATATTATGAAATAACCTTCTTAAATAATCATTTGAATGAAATATATTAAAATGAAATTGTTCATATTTACTTGAAATATCTTAAATAATATTTATAAATAAATTCATTAATATCATCAAAATGAACTGACATTATTATATTATTATATAATGGATTAACTTATTCTTTATTAGTTATTATTTAATTGAAAAATAATATTTTCTTGTTATTTGAAACATTTCTTTTTCTATTTTTATTCTTCTGAAACTGTTCTTTCGAAAGTATAACATTTCTATATGATTTTAATTGTCTAATACTCTTGAGTTGTACACGAAAATTAGCAAAGAAAAAATGCATCTAAATAATTTGCAAAAAAGAAAAAAGATGCAAAATAATTTGCATCCATAGAATTTTCCATTTATTATATTTTGCTCCTAAAATAAAAATAAAAAAATAAAAAGTATGATAAATATACAATCTGTATATATTTATGTTTATATTTTATTATCATTTCTATTCATTTTGTATGAAATATTAATGAAATAGATTATTTGATTATTCATATTTATTTTTATATATTTATTCTTTTATTTATATGTTATTTATCTATCGTATTTTTATATTTATTTCTCTGTTTATATTATTTATATCATTGTGTTATTCTTATTATCTATATATTATTATATTCTTCTTATTTTATTATTTTTCTATTTATATTATTTAGATTTTCTTATTGTTATTCTTTTCTATTTAGATGTATTTGTTTATTCATCTTTATCATTTTTATATTATTATCATTTATATCTATTTTCATTTTATATTTATTCTCTTTTTATTTATATTAATATCAATTTTATCTTTTATATTTTGATTTTATTATTATATCATTGATTATCATTTCTCGTTTTATTTATCATTTATTCTTATTATTCTTTTAGTTTTATATTCTATCTATGTTATATATTCATATCATATTCATTTATATTTTATCACTTATTATATATTATAATAACATAACACATATGATTGAATATATAATAAACATCATGATGAAATTATACATATAAATAATAAACATAAAAAGAGTAAAATATTTTTCATCAATAAAATAATATTAATTATTTTACATCATTAAATTAGACACTTTTATTGAATATTTCTAATTTTTACAATAAAAATACACTTTTTATTTCTTCTTTTCTTATTTTATTACCTCTTTGTGATTTATTATTTTTATATTCTTCTTATACTTTCTTTTTATTCTTTTATATATTTATATTCTTTTTATATTATTTGTTTTCGTTGTTGTTTTTATATTTCTTTCTTCTATTATTTATCAATTTTATATTCATTTATTCTTTTTATTTCTTTTTTATTAATTCTTGAGTATTGTATATTTCTTTATTATTTCATTTGTGTATTATCAAATTATATGTTTTATTGATTTTATGTTGAACAAAATATTAAATATAATCAATATTTTCAATGTTAAATATTCATTATTTATTATTAATTGTTGTGTATATTTATTATATTAAATGAATATGATGAATGAATATCAATATTATTGTTTATTTGATTTTAAAAAATAATAAATGAATATGAAATAATGAAATAAAATAATGAAGACAATGAAATGATAATGAAATAGAATAATCTAATATTGAACAAATCAAATAAAGAATATATTGAATATATCATTATTGTTACTTTATTATTTATTATTTCAATTATTAAATATTAATAAATTATTATTCATGAATATTTATTTAATTGATATTTTACATTTTCATTTTCATTTTATTTAATAAATGAAATATAAATAATAAATGAATGAATAATAATTTAATATATGAAATAATAAAAAGAAAAGAAAGATAAATAATAAAGAAATATGATGTATTTAATACATACTATAATTTATTATCAAATATAATAATATCAAATGATGAATTATTTTTATTTCAAAATATTTTGCATCCATAAAAATGTTGCTAAATATTTTGCATCATTAAATTTTGCATCATTAAATTTTGCGCTTTTTTTATTTGTTTCAATAAAATTTGCATCCTTTATTTTCTTCTTTCTTTTCTTCTTTTATCATCTCTTTTGTTTTATTACACTTTATCTTCTTTCTTTTTATCTTCTCTCCTTTCTACTTTTATTCTTTCTTCATCTTCATCTACTTTTTACTTTCTTTTTATTCTTTTATATCATTCATTCTCTTCTTTTTCAATTATTTGCTTTTTTCGTTGCCTTGATATTTCATTATTTGATTTTGTATTATTGTTTGTGTTGTTTCTGATTTTCATTATTCATTTCTCATTCATTTTCATTTAATAAAATAGAATAATAATAATAATGAAAGAAGATAAAAGGTCAATTATTAGATATAT